GTTTGGGTAGTCCCTTCCTCTCTCTCTCTCTATTCGGACTGAGACAGTTTGGGATCCCCTTCTCTCTCTCTCTCTATCGATAGATAACTTAATTTAATCCTGTAGAAAAGTTTCATCTGTTTCTATCAGCTTCCCGGAATCTGAAACTAAATAACAAAAAAATATAAAGTGTATCGAATACAAGTGTAAAATGTACGACAAACTTCCATTATCTTTCAAACCGTACAGATTATTGTTTGATCTAAATAAAATCACACTCAAGAAAGATACATTCACAGCTTGTATTAGTTAATAATCTAGAAAACCGATATTTCATGTTTTAACCCAACAGATAATCCTGTGAGAAACCAATATTTCATATTTTAACCCAACAGGTATTCCCGATAAACCAGTATTTCATGTTTTGACCAAACAGGTATTCCGATAAACCAGTATTTCATGTTTTAACTAAACAGGTATTCCGATAAACCAATATTTCATGTTTTAACCCAACAGGTATTTCCGATAAACCAATATTTCATGTTTTAACCAAACAGATACTACTGTGAGAAATTAATATTTCATGTTTTAATCCAACAGATACTACTGTGAAAAACCAATATTTCATGTTTTAACCCAACAGATATTCCCGTTAAAATAATATTTCATGTTTTAACCCAAGAGATATTCCGATAAACCAATATTTCATGTTTTAACCAAACAGATACTACTGTGAGAAACCAATATTTCATGTTTTAACCCAACAGATACTCCCGATAAACCAATATTTCATGTTTTAACCCAAGAGATATTCCCGATAAACCAATATTTCATGTTTTAACCAAACAGATATTCCCGATAAACCAATATTTCATGTTTTAACCAAACAGCTATTCCCGATAAACCAATATTTCATGTTTTAACTCAACAGATAATCCCGATAAACCAATATTTCATGTTTTAACTCAACAGATAATCCTGTGAGAAACCAATACTTCATGTTTTAACCCAAGGGTTTTACTAATAAACTATTATCCATGTTTCACCTTGTACATGCTGCCATTAAACAATAATTGGTGTTTAATCCCCGGCCGGTATTGTTGATGACGTATTTAACGTGGCAAGCACGCGCAATGATTCACACAGTTTTCATCTTTAGAATTTTTCTAAGTTTCACTTCTTTGAAACAATAATCAACTTCAAACAACAACAGTGAGCAGAAAATACAATGGTTTTATTATAAGACTAAATATCTGATCCAAATAAAACTACAAACAATTAATAGCTCTTGTTTTAAACACACGCACAGAAGCAGAGTAGAAATATCAAATAACTAATCAAAGTTAGTAATCGTGCACAGAACGGTTATTCATTACCGATCTTATGGCTGAAACAAGCAAAGTATTGTTTTCTTTTACAACAAAGTTGTTACGAAGGGCAGTGGCACTGCTATATTCACAAAAACTGGACCTTATTCTGCCCAGTAAAGCCAACCAGCAGCCAAACTCCACTACTTCAAAATCGCAACTGTTTTATTAATAATCTCGGTTCCTTAATCGTTTGAGTTACTCTAGTGTTTTTGTCACAGTCATTATCAGTGATTCGTGCACAAGTCATCTCATCATAACCCACTTTGGTCTTACACATCTTGTAAAATACAAAAGGAAGTAAACATAACTGGTCGTTAAACAAAAAAAAAAAAGAGAAATACACCTCATTACATATTATAGATATTATGTGCTGCCATCTGTTGTTTAGAAATCGAATAAGATACTATGACGCATAGTCTACTAAATTATTACGAATTAATGCTTGTTACCACTATTAAAAAAACACGCTTTTGGACTACGAAGTCAGTGACATTGAAAAGAAATATGGGAGTATAATACTATTTTCCCTCATTTATTTTATTAATATTCAGTGGAATTATTCCAATCTTAAAATACAAAATATTATAAAACTGATCTTTGGGACTTGCGTGGTTGTAGATACGTATTGTAAGCATAATTTTTACAATAGAATATCCTGTAATTATTATTAACACAAAAATATTTTCCTCAGAAATTTAACGTTTCAAGAATACACTGCTCTCTACCGATAAAATTCAACATTCACAAATTTGAATAGACATAATATTAGGCACACAAGTAAAGAAAAAAACTTTTCCAAAAAAAAAGAAATAAATGTGTGGATGGCTAATATCCATCTATCAAAAACAAGATGGTAGGGCTAGCATTTTCATCATCCCTACATTATTATGTGATGTTATGTAGGGATGATGAAAATGTCATCACTACTGCCATGTTTTTGATATTAGTTTTTTATTTACTTGTTTTTTTGTTATTTTTTTTAATTCGGTGTTTCAACAGATATAGATAGGTTGTACTTAGAACCAAGTTCTAAATACAATGAGGTTTCAATTGTAATATTCATTGTTTATCTATTATCGGCTGGTAATTCCTGTTTCACCCTGTATTTAAGATTTCTAAAGGAACACCAACATTTTGGTAAGAAAGCTAACTTCAAGGGGTAATGATAACATTGTTTACAATAGAATGATGTTGGTTTTTTTTTAATTACTGCTAGTTATTAATAATACTTGTAAAAACGGCTACATTGTTTGAAACTACGTCACCTCAGTGAAATTGGTTGACACCATTGTTTTGGTTTTTGAGTTATGTAATAAAAAAGAAACAGAAGAAATAACAAGAAATTCAAACTTTTTGCTATGTATTATATTTACAGTCATTACATAGATATTGTTACAAAAGAAAACACTGTATAGTATTGTAAAGTTCTGATGGCCTACTGAGGAGATATTTAAAATACTATTTTGATGAACAATCCGAGCCATCCCTACATTGACAGTGCTGCCATCTATCTTATATTGTTAAATAGTGGGTAGCAATTTGTGCCGTAAGTGAAGCGTTAATGTCGTTGTCACGAGTGACTGACCCACGAATATCATCGTAAGCTAGACCACCCCTTATGGTGGATTTATAATTAGATGATGTAGGAGAAACCCAAATAAAATTATTCACAAATCCTGTCATCAGAGGGCGCTTCAGATGAGCTTGTTTAAACTATTCTATATAGACAACTGCTATCAACCACAAAACACAAAGTTGCTCAAATAGTGATTTCTTTATTAACGTTCTGTTACGCAACAGATAATGTTGAAGAAACAGACATTTTCTTTAATGCTATTCTTAATGCTTCCACTATAATTTATAACTTTTCCAAATCAGTTATTACATCGAGCTTCAAAAGTTGAGATAGGCAATAACATATAATAATTATACAATAGTGTTAAACACTCTAGAAAAAACAACAGGAGAAAAGTATAGAAACCAAGTCAGTAGAAAATAGATTTTTTATACGTCCGTGCAACTGAAATAAAAGTCCTCGCATTTCTTGTCAAACCATTTTCAAGCAAGATCATAATTTTCTATCTTACCAACTAGTGTGACGTTCATTTAGAGGTATTATAAACCAACAGATTTAACTGGCTTTATATTAATGATACAATTCTGTGACTAATGTACACGATTATTACATTAAAGTGACGTCTATAAATAAGCTATTAACAAAACCAAAACTGCAAAAGGAATAAAATGACAGTCTTTTGAAACTCAGTTTATTAACTTTCTTCATGATACAAAAAAAAAAAAAATTTCTCCAGCGAATTATGTTAAATGTTTATTTCTATGAAACACTGACTTTAGTTACTGCTCTGTTCCTACATGTAGCTCTCCCTCACAAACTTCTGGTATTGTATGCACATTTTCAGTCTCCAAAAGGACCTAAACAGACTGGTCACAAACGTATAGTTTAACTGTAAATACAACACAAGCTAATAGTGTGTGCTTCTAGAAATGGAACAAAAAACAAAGCATGATAGAAGTGGAACGTATATTAACTTAACTAGTATATATAGTTGTTATTAATTAACATCCATTGTTTCTTGAGTAGCTTGTTGGTCCACTCCTTTCTCTGTGCTGGCTTGTTCTTCTTGTCCACTAGCGGGTTTTTCTTCTGCTGGTGGTTCTACCTTAGGCTTTGGTTTCGAAAGAACCGATGTAACTGTATTCTCAAAAGACTGAAAGAAAAATGGACATTGAAAGTGTGGTATTGCAGGAATATACTGTCTTGTATTACATGTGTAACATAAAGAAAAAACCAACAAATTATTTAAACCCAATTTCCTTGAGAGAGCTATTGGGTTTATTTTTGTTGTTGCTAACTAACAATTTATATTTTGTTTAAAGACATTGCTTTAGGAAGCAATGTTTGAGTGATCAGGCCATTGCCACAGCTAAACAATATAACACACTACCAGCATGCAAATCATGTCATTTCTGGCATCAATGTTTCATATTAAACAAATAAAACCAATATATCTGTTACTTTATAGAAACTTCACGTGGCAGGGAAGTGTAGATAGTTTACATGTACTAAAACTGCTAATTTTGGTTAAAAAACTCAGTCCAGATAATAGATACAAGCAAAGTGCAAAGTTTATAAATATCACTGTCTTAAAATGTTATAACTCTGCACATTTACAATTTGAAAAAAAGCACACATTAAGATCACAATATTTTAACTGACCTTCAGTTCCTGGTAAATCTGTGACACCAAAACTGGAGGATTCTGATGTTGTGGTGTTCGAGACATGACACCCAACTGGTGGTCTAACCACTGCTGTTTCTCTTCCAAGGCATTTTTAACCTAACAGATAAAACACCACAGAAACAAACCCTTATTACAGTAAAACCAAGAAGTCATTTTTAACCTAACAGATAAAAGACCACAGAAACAAACCCTTATTACAGTAAAACACCTCAGAAACAAACCCTTATTACAGTAAAACCAAGAAGTCATTTTTAACCTAACAGATAAAACACCACAGAAACAAACCCTTATTACAGTAAAACACCACAGAAACAAACTCTTGTTACAGTAAAACCAAGAAGTCATTCATCACACTTGAGGCCAAGTTTTTCCTTCTACAGTAAACTAGACACTGATCCTGTTTTACATAACAATTCTAAGAAACAGACAGACAGTGGGTGTTATACATCATTAATTATTATTTTCAATCATATTTCCTCTTTATGTGATGACACTTAATTTTTATGTGTCCTAATTTTTACGGTAGTTACAAGGTCGGTCAAATTGACCAAACCCATACAAAGATACAAGAAATGTTTGATAACTATCTGGACATTATAATGGTTTTGCATGTGAAATTTGGAAACTTTCCGACGCATAAAAGTATTTTTAATCTTAAAATCAAAATTACTTTCCATGATAGATAGTCAACAATCAAAAATAAAACAAATGCACGAGGAAATCACTACTTAAAAAATATAAAACTTAATAAAAAAAACTGATATTTTGTGTACAATATCCTTGTAGTGTTTACTGATAATATGCAAACTTTTGTGAAGCTACACATAATATATTAAAAGTTATAGCATGAAAACTGTAACAAGCACAAAATGGTTACTACCTTCATGCCATACAAAAGAAGAGACCAACATAACTGTTCAAGTATAAAAACACTTCAGATTCAAACAAATAAGAAATACTTTACTTTCTCCATTTCTTGTGCTTCAATATGAGCATACTGTTCATCATTTGTTGCATACTGGTCCAGTGCTTTCCTTGTTAATTGTAATGCTCGGTAGAATTGGTCAATCAATACAGGCCGCTCTTCAAACTCACGATGTCTGACCACCACTGGCTCACAATGTTTCTGTAAGGAGGAATTAATGTGTTTTAGTTTTAATTTAGAACTGCAACTGTACAATATATGAAAATATTGTATTAAAGTAGTTATTCCAAAATGGAATTCAAACCAACTTCAGAAGAAACTAGGGCAATGAATTACAGCTCTCTCTCTCTAGAGACGTGTAATGTAAAACAGACTACATCTGAATGAATTCCAGCTTTCTCTCTACAGACATGTAATGTAAAACAGACTACATCTGAATGAATTCCCGCTTTCTCTCTACAGACGTGTAATGTAAAACAGACTACATCTGAATGAATTCCAGCTTTCTCTCTACAGACATGTAATGTAAAACAGACTACATCTGAATGAATTCCCGCTTTCTCTCTACAGACGTGTAATGTAAAACAGACTACATCTGAATGAATTCCAGCTCTCTCTCTACAGACGTGTAATGTAAAACACACTACATTTGAATGAATTACAGCTCTCTCTCTAGAAACGTGTAATGTAAACCAGACTACATCTGAATGAATTACAGCTCTTTCTCTCTAGAGGCGTGTAATGTAAAACAGTCTACATCTGAATGAATTCCAGCTCTCTCTCTAGAGACGTGTAATGTAAAACAGACTACATCTGAATGAATTCCAGCTCTCTCTCTAGAGACGTGTAATGTAAAACAGACTACATCTGAATGAATTACAGCTCTTTCTCTCTAGAAACGTGTAATGTAAACCAGACTACTCCTCAATACATGCCAAGGTGAACAATGCTGAAAGCTAAACAGCAAGTTTAAAACATATTTACCTTTAATTCAGCTAGTTTTTCTATGTACACCTTCTTGGATTGGTTTTCACCTTCATCATAGAGCCAATTTTCTGTATCTTCCAACATACTGATTAACAAACTCCTCTCCTACAGATAAATAAATAATTCAAACTGATACTTCTGTCATTCTCTTTAATAATACTACTATATAATTCCTTATAATTTTCTCGTGTATGTTTAGAAGCAACACAAATTATCAACAAGGTTTTCATGGCAACATTTAAAGCAACGCAAAATAACCTTTGTTTTTAACAGTTCTATTTAAAGACGTTTTTGTTTGTTAGTTAGGTTTAATGTGATAATAAATTACAGCTCGAGTCTTATTTTAAAAATATCATAAAAAAACACTCGTTGAAGAGATAATAAAAGCAGTCATAGTCACGAAGGTAAGTTATACCAACTTAGTGTTTAAAGTTAGATTAACTTTTACATAACTATTGTCAGTTATTTCTACTAATGGCAAGAAAGTTTTCAATGATTTTTCTTCGTTTAGCTACAACTTTCATTTGTTATTTGGAACTACATTTCTGAGGCTTCCAATAAAATTATACACTGAATTTTGAATCTTCATACAAATCTCAGGATTACATAATTTATGTTTACTCAACTATCAGATGTTGGAGACAGCCAGAAGAAAAACTGTTTCTAATGATTAACAAGGTAGTTACAAGCAACTGAACATGACATAATTTTATATAGATATTCTTCTCAAGATGCCCAAAACGTTACTGAACCATACTCTTACATGTGTTTTCATGTGATAATCATCACAATACAGATCAACGAGTCAGAAGACTACCCTAAGTATTTAACCAAATTAAAAATACTTACCTGTTCAGATGCAAATTTTTCCAGCTTTTCATACAGCTGGCTTCTAATTTCATACACATATTCCTCAACACCATTCTTTGCATCCATTTTTTCCTTCTCCATTTTATCTTGTTGAATCATTTTTGCCTGGAAATCAAATGACAAGAAAAAAATTCTGAAGTTTAATTTAAACTTTTCTCATTTAGAGAGATGTCTCAATTTTACGAAATAATAAAGTATTCTACTTCTAGTAAGCCAAACAACTGATAGATATGGATAGTTTCAGGTCAAACAACAAATAGATATGGATAGTTTCTGGCCAAACAACTGACAGATATGGATAGTTTCAGGCCAAACAACTGACAGATATGGATAGTTTCAGGCCAAACAACTGACAGATATGGATAGTTTCAGGCCAAACAACTGACAGATATGGATAGTTTCAGGCCAAACAACTGACAGATTAGTACTTCATATTAATAAATTAATTATATCTATTTTAATAGTAATGGATCACATGATTGAATATCAAATTGAAACTATAGAATAGGATTTTATGTAACTTTGAACCTAGACATGATAATTAACATGATTTTATTTTTTTTTGAATTAAGAGAAATGACTTACACAGAGTTCAAAGACTTCAAACCCACAACTTCACAAAATCTATACATTAAAACACAAAAGTCCAGAAGGGACTAGAAAACATGCATGATTTAAAGTACTGACTACACAATAGGTACACTCGTGTTAATTTGATAAAAAAAACTAACAAGGAATGAAAATATCTGTCTTTCCCACAGAAGAATAAACATTTCATTTTCTTTAGGTAATAACAAAAGTAAAACACAAAATGCTGTTAATAATTCTGATGTAAGTATTTTAACAACTTTAATATTGACAGAAAAAATTAAACAGGATCTTGAAATTATATATTGACAGAAAAAATTAAACAGGATCTTGAAATTATATCTTACAAAATACAATAATAATGAAATTATTGAACACTATAAGTCTGGTTGAACTTACCTCTGCTTCAATGAAATCGTCCAGTTCTTTCTTAGACAACTGAAAAACTCCAGCTTCAATAGGAAGATCTATTGACTTCACGACTTTCTTCTGCTTTTTTTGAACTAGTTGTTCCTTCTTTTCAGACTCCTTTGAAAATTTTATATCCATTTTGTTACTGATAAATTTATGCAAAACATTTATAAACATTACGAGAGCTAATCGTATTTCACTTGTACAGCACACAAACTTAACACTGTACAGCACACAAACTTAACACTGTACAGCACACAAACTTAACACTGTACAGCACACAAACTTAACACTGAACAGCACACAAACTTAACACTGTACAACACACAAAGCTATGAAGAATTTAAATATCACTTTTAAGAGTTAAAATATGGTGCCACTGAGCCTAATGTTAGTGGTCAACAACAGGTTAATTTTAATGTTTTACAGTTAATACATTGAATTTTTAATGACTGCTTTTCCAGAGTACAAAACTAGGCCATTCACATTCCCTTTTTAAACAAATAACTATATACCTTGTTTTGTTCACTGGGCTGCTGGGGTGAACCAGTACCTTGCTCTGTTTGTATGGCATTCTGAAAATGATAAAAGAGTGATCACCAACTCTTACAGAAAGTTGTTAATACTTTAAGTTGTTCGATTTAATACATTCTAAGGCCTGGCCCATTATACGTACAACAAGCTACAGTAAATATCCTACTTCTCTTGAAATGAAGAATACCTTGAAAGTGTTATTCAAGAAACTGCCACTTACTTATTTACTTACAGCAGTAAAATAAGCTGAAAATAAAATTGATATAAAAACAGCTGACAACTTACAATCTTTGAGAAGTTGAAAATAGAGAAGAACATATTACCTCATCAGCACTAGGTTGGTCAGTATGATTCACAACTGGTTTTCCATCGACACCATTTGATGTTTGTTCCTCCCCCTTATCGATGTTTACTTCTAGTTTGTTCTCAAGAGAGTTAATTTCTTGATCACCTTTGTTTTCAGCTTCATTCTGTCCATTTTCTTCTACCGTTTGTTTTTCTGTCATACTGGCCGAGCACACAGAGAAAACACCATGGATGTTTATTCTCACTTTCACCTTGACCTTTGCACTCTCACCATCACTAGAAGGAGCAACCTTCTGCACTGTGAACTTACCTAACAACAAAAAAGCAATTTTAACAGTTTTACAAAATGTATGCTACTTTTAATCGCTAGTTAGTTGAAAAAAAATTGATATTCAAAAAGTTAATCATACATCTAGTATCTTCGAAATAATTAGGAATACAACTAGTAGCATAAAATTATTCACAGCATAAGTACACCACCATAACTCTCACTGGTGCTCACAAGACAAGCAAGCCCAGTAAAGCACATAAGACTAGGGCTGTCACACTTCCAAGTTTTTCTAACTGATTATTTGTTATGCTTGAACAGATTAACCGGTTTGACTTGAGTCTACGAAGTTTAAAAAGTGTCAAAGTCACATTGCAGAGGTGCTACAAACCACAGGATTAATTAAACCCATATTTTCCTTTGTAAGTTGAGGTGCTACAAACCACAGAATTAATTAAACCCATATTTCCCTTTGTAAGTTGAGGTGCTACAAACCACAG